AGGCTGCAGTATAATATTAGTTTTAAGTTGAAGTAATTCATAATTGTAAATCCAACAAGAGAGGTGCATAGCACCGCAACATAAATGTTAGTAACAAAATAAAGAAACACCATAGCAGTGTGAAATAAACTTTAACTTCTAACATTAACTTATATATGGGAGCTATATCTAAATTTTGATAATCTCCAATTTCAATAGGGTTCGTCCTTGGGCCAAACAAGTGATTTGTGCAAAATTTCATCTGGATAGGGCAATAAATGCGAACTGTACTTTGTTTACAAAAATACATGGTCAGACGGACAGACGGACGGACATGCATAAATCGACTCAGAATGTGATTCTATGCAGATCATCAAAAGGAACTATGGGTCTATCTCGTTTCCTTTTGCCTGTTACAAACAAATGCACAAATACATAATACCCTGACCACCTTGTGGTGTAGGGTATAAAAATTACATGCCATAAAAATATGACAAAAATTTAAAAAAAACTTAACAAGTTAAAAAGTATCTTTCCGGTTTTCCAACTGATGTATACCCTCAGCCAATGTATGACTATTAAAAATATTTTGACTTCTGTTATGATTATAGTGTTTTTTAAAAACTTGAACCCTATATGGGGCAGGTAACAAAAGAAATGGTCCGATATCTACCATCTTTATAAGAGATCTCGTGATGATGAAATTTTACGATGTACCAAGTCTTGAATGGAATCGCATGTCAATTTCGCTTTTTATGAGCTTCATGGATATTCAAAATGTTGAGCCTTTGTGGCCATCTTCACAACGGATATTTTGTTAGTGGAAATAATGGGATGTGTAAAATATAAAGGGAACCTGATGCTTATTTCGGATTTCATAAACGTTTTGGTTATTCACAACTTTGACCCTTTGTGGGAAAGGTACTAGAAAGAATGGTCCGATCTCTACCGTTTTTTAACAGGTCCTGTGTTAATAGAAATATTCAGATTTGCTAAGTCTAAACGGAATCAGTTGTTCATATCGCGTTTTATGGACGTAATGGATATTCAAAATTTCAACCTGTTGTGGGTGAGGTACCAGAAATAGTGGACCGATATATCCTATCTTAACACCAGACCTTGGGTTAATATAGATATTGGTGTGTGTGAAATTTAAAGACAATCGGACTCTTACATCACATTTTATCATATCATTTTATTTATTCAAAATTTTGACCATTTGTGGGGGAGGTACTCGATGGAGTGAACCGATATTGTCCATTTTCACACCTGACCTAGCACTGATGTAAATATTAGGATTTGCAAAGTTGGAGGGAAATTGGATTATCCTTTCTCTTTCTGTGCAAAAAATAATTTTTTTTTGAAAATTTCGACCTATTGTGGGGGAGGTACCAGAGGGAGTGGACCGATAGTGCCCATCTCCGGATTCAATCTAAGTTTGACAATAACATTGCGATGTACCAAGTTTGGATCAAATCGGATACACACTTCGAGAGTTATAGTTTGCACCAGCCAGCCAGACGGACGGACAGATGGACATCGCTAGATCACCTCCGAATGTCCTGAAACGGATTTGGCCCAAAGAGACCTAGGGTCTAAAACCGTTATTTCGACTAGGCACGTTTTGAGGGTATAAAAAATACTCACATTTTTACTTTCATATTTTTAGATTTTACAATTTTCTGAACAGACCATTCCGAGTTGATGAAAATTGTGAAAATCAGTCCAGCGGTTGTTGACTTATAAGTGGATATGTATTTTTTTTACATATATATTGTACCTATTTTGCTATATATCTGATATCTTGGCTATCAGTATCACTATAATGGTCTGAAATGACTTTTTAACGCATTTGTGATTTCGCATGGATTAAAAAAATTCGCCATTTTGTTAAAATTTTCGTAATTTTTTCCATAAAATTTATGGGCTATTTTACCCGCTAAATATTATCCGATGACCAAACAAAACGGCAAGCCCAGCCCTAAACTCTACTCTCCACGCAAAATTCCGCGTCGATTGATCCATAATTGTGGTCTGTAAAGCAACAGTAAAATCATTCCATTTCAACCTCAATATTTCAATCCAAATCATCTCCAAAAACAATAGGCTTCTATTCTGACCCTAACCCCACCTCCATTTTGATTTTCGTGAAGATCGAGCCATAATTGCGACCTGTAGCTTGAACATGAACAGACGGATGGAAATACATAGCTAGATCGACTCAGCTCGGCGAAGATCCATATATAGTTTCCTATGTGGGAGACGAGTATTTCGAGGTGTTACTTTTGGTCCAATCGAATTTATGATAACCCCCAACACGTGGTGTTGTGGGGTATAAAAATCCACATTTGTGGCTCTGATGGTCCAAGAATAAACATTTTGAAAGATATTTACGACTACGGACCTGAGGATCCGTGAAAAATATTCTTAAACAATTTACGAATAGTGCTGTCATAGTCCATTGAAAAAAAAACGTGATTATTTGTCTGATAGCTGATAAAAAATATTATAAAAAATCCACATTTGTGGCTCTGATGATCCACCAAAAAAAAAAAAACAATTCCAGAAAATTCAAGATTTTTGTTCCGATGGTTAACTTAAAATATTCATGAAAATCCAAAATTAATGCTCCATGATTCATCAATCTTTTTTTTTTCTTTGAGAGTCCATGAAATATATTCGCCTGAAATCCACGATTATCGATCTAATCGTCCACGAAAAAGATTCATTAAAAACTCCGCTACTACTTATTTGATGGTCCATGAAAAAATATTCTTAAAAATCCACAAATATATAGAGCTGATGGCTGATGAAAACTTATTCTTTAAAAAATCCATATTTGTGACAAAGATGTTCGATGAAAAATATTATAAACAAGTAAGCAAAGGCTACAGTCGAGCGGCAGCGACCGTTGAATACCCTACAACACTATAATAAACGATACACTTTATATAGTCGAGAAACTCGAACGAATTCCACAAGATATTGTGACAAATAATAAAAGAAAACCATCAGGTTTCAAATTATAGGAACTTAAACTAATTTGCTCATTTCCAATTTATTGGTAGATTTTGCACGTAAATGGTCTTCATAGATATGGAACCAATATTTCCCAAAGACCTATAATCTCTCAGAAGTGGCAAAAGATTAACATTTATTATTGGTTTTTGACTGAAACGCATCTATATGAGATACGGACATTTGACAATATTCTTCAACGAAATAGTCAGAAGTGCGTCTTTCCTGTATATGTGAATTCACCAAAAAGTCACTGGAATGGACATTTTCGTATTTTGTCTACAAAAGTTGGCAAACTATTTCACACATTGAATATTTTTGGATGGCCATCCAAAACTGCTTGGCTTTTGCAATGTCCGATAACCCCGATTCAAATGTGCGTGAGGATCGGGCGATAATTACGACCTGCTGACAATTTTGCAGTTTTTTGGTCCATTTCAACCCCTAAATATATGGCGATCATCTCCAAAAAGAGTAGGCTTCTATTCTGACCCTCATCTTATCCCTATGCAAAATTTCGTAAGGATCGGGCCATAAATGCGATCTGTATATGATATCCTGATATCCTAACTACTTAGTTTTGTTAGCTGTAGAAATATTACCAAATGTTTAATTCAAAATGAAAATATGACAAAATTGAAAAAGTATGAGAAAATGTTACAAAATCAATATTTTCATCTTTAGAGAGATATTTTTATGCGATTTTTTAGACGTTTTTTCTTTCCTGCCAAGAGGCCATTCTGAATTAATGACAACAGTCGAAATACGTCCAGCCGTTCTCGACATATAAGAGATCTTTCAAGCATATCTTCTTTGATAGACATATATATCGCCTATATTTTGCTATATATCCGATTTGTTGGATATAATCATCAATGTAAAGGTCAGAAGTAACCTTGTCATGGCTTTGTGATTTCGCCGGGATTTAAAATATTCGCGGTTTATTGAAAAATTTTGAATTTTTTCAACACAGAGGATATGGTCTATTTTACCCGCTAAATATTATCCGATGACCACCCAAATTGGTAGGCTTCTTCCCCGCCATAAACTCTAGCTACATGCGAAATTCCGAGTCGATTGGTCTATGATTGCGACCTGTATAGCTACTGCAAAATCCGAAATTTTTTCAGTATTTGGTCCATTTCAACCCCTAAACATTTGGCGATCATCTCCAAAAGAAATAGGGTTCTATTCTGACCCTAACCCCACCTTCGTGCAAAATTTCGTTAGGATTGGGTCATAATTGCGACCTGTAGAGTGATTACAAATTAACATGGACAGACGGACAGACGGACGGACGGACATACATACCTAGATCGACTCAGCTCGGCGAGCTAGGAAGATCCATATATACTTTCCTATATGGGAAACCAATATTTCGAGGTGTTACATAAATTCTGGCCCAATCAAACTTATAATACCCCCAACACATAGTGTTGTAGGGTATAAAAATCCACAAATATATAGACTTGATGGCTGATGGAAACTTATTCTTTAAAAAATCCATATTTGTAACAACACTACACTATTTCTAGGTTTTATGACCCGATTCCTAATAAAATCGTAACTATTCTTGGTATTTTCTATTTAAATTGGAAATCATTCTTAAAAGAATCAATTAAAAAGTTAATATTTTACAAAAAAGTTTATTCCAAGTTAATACTCGAAGGCAATTTTAAATAACCTCGCCTAAATTGTAGTAAATCGCAAAATTGGAACACATTAAGGCTAGCATAATTTAGCATTGGCTTAATTAGTGTTGTTATGATGCCACAACTGGAGTTGACCAAATTTTATGACACACCACGACGAGACCCGCAAGCAATGAATAATTTGTGTGGTGGGAATGCCAGTCAATGGTGTTGTTATTGTTGTTTTTTTTTAGTTTTAATGTAGATTACTTCTTAGTATATATACTACACATGTTTGGCAAGAAGTTATCAATCACGCCAAGCACTCCTCAACGAATACAACCAAGTTAAACAAAACAACTAAGAAACAAAATGTACAAATTGGTAAGTCAGAAAAAAATAATAAATTGAATAAAAAAAGGAATATTATTTTACTAGTCCATCGTGCAGATATTTAGTATTCGGTGCACATACTCAATTAACCCTCTTCCTCTTCTCTCCCCATTTTCAGTTTGTCCTTGCTGCCTTCTTTGCCGTTGCTGCTGCCCGCCCTGGTTACTTGGGTGGATCCCATGTCAGCTACGGTGCTCCCCTGGCAACCACCATTGTCCAAGAACCTGCCTTGGCCCATGTTGGCACTGTGGTGAAGAGCATACCCACCGCTGTATCCCATCAATCCATCTCTCAAGTCCATTCATCTGCCAAATATGTTCAGCCAATTGTTGTTCCTGTTGTTAAGACCTATTCGGCTCCTGTCTACAAGACCTATGCCCCAGTTGCTCCTGTTGTGAAGACGATTGCCACTCCTTTGGTACATAGCTATGCCGCAACTCCTTTGGTCTCATCGGCTTATACTAGCTACAATTCGGTTCCTGTTTTGAAAAGTTACGCTTCTTATGCTCCATCTTATGGTGGTGCCTATGGCAGCCATGGTTGGTAAGGAGGCGCTACACACCTGATAAGGATAAAAGATTTTGTTGGGCATTTTGTGATTACGATTTAATAAAAAATATGTTGTGAAAATAAATTCAAAATTTTTAATTTTTTTTTTTTGGAAATTATTCTAAAAATTCCAGAAACAGGGATTCTTTAAAATTTTTGAGGAATTTTTGGGGCTACAAACGTGGGGTTTTAAAGAATATTTTTAGCATCAGTCATCAGATCCACAAAAGTAGATTTTAGTTGAAAAACATTTTTAAAGACCCTCCTGTCCCAAATGATTGGCTTTAAGGAATATTTTAAAAGGTCTTTGAGGGTCACGAACGTGAATTTTTTTCCAGGGCCATCAGAGCATTAATAATGAAATTTTTATTTCATGGACACTAAAATATCGAAAAAGTGGATTTTTAGAAACACGTCTTCATCAACAATCAGAACCAAAATTCAGAACTTCTATATATTTTGTTAGGGATCATTAGGGCAGTAATCATTAATTTAAGTAAAAAAAAATTTTTTTTCCTGGACCATTGGAGCCACAAACATTTATTTTCAAAAATAATATTTTTTATCAATCGACTGAGCAATAATTGTGGATTTTTTAAGGATTTCTCCATGGACCATCAGGGATTTAATTCTGAATTTTTAAGGAATATTTGTCGTGAACAATTATTGGCCCAACAGTGGATTTTAACTTTTTCATAGATCATTAGAGCCCCAATCGTGGATTTTTTAAAATGTATTTTTATGGACCATCAGACAAATTATCGTCGACTTTTTAAGCACTATCCGGATCCAAAAAGTGGGGTTTTAAAGAAAATTTTCAAAGGACGATTAAGCCACCAACGTGGATTTTTTAAAAAATATTTTTCTAGGGCCATCAGAGCATTAATGGTGGATTTTTGAAGAGAATGATTTTTCATAAAGGTGAACAGAGCAAAAGTCTTTGATTTTGAAAACAAGTAAACGAACATTAAGTTCGGCCGAGCCAAACTTTTAATGCCCTCCACCTTAGGGTAAAGGAAACATTAGAAGAATTGTTGCAAAAACCATTAAAATGCCGAATATCGGGAGGAATCGTTATATGGGGGCTATACCAAATCGTGAACCTACACATGCAATGTTTCGCCAACGGAGCTAGAACCCATTATGACCTACAAATACCATTTTTCAGACAAATACGTGAAAAAAATGTGCCAAAAATCATCAAATTGCAGAATATCGGGAGGTACCGTTATATGGGGTCTATACCAAAACGTGGACCTATAATTACAATGACTCGCCACACGAACTGGGACCCATTATGATCTACAACTACCAAATTTTCAGAGAAATTCGTGAAAAAAATGTGTCAAAAATCATCAAATTACCGACTATTGGGAGGTACCGTTATATGGGGACTATACCAAAACGTCGACCTATACATACAACGTTTCGGCACACGAACTAGGACCCATTATGACCAACAAATTCAAATTTTTAGACAAATTCGTGAAAAAATGTGGCAAAAATAATCAAAATACCGAATATCGGGAGGTACCTTTATATGGGGGCTATACCAAAACGTGGACGTATACATGCAATGTTTTTCCACACGTACAAGGACCCGTTATGACCTACAAATACCAATTTTAAGACAAATCCGTGAAAAAATGTGGCATAAATCATCAAAATACCGAATATCGGGAGGTACCGTTTTATGGGGACTATACCAGAACGTGGACCGATATATCTCATTTTCAATACCAACCATCCTAGACACAATGGCAATTGCTCTACGCAAGCTTTGATTTCAAAAAGGTTTTTTTTACTAACCAGAATTTTACCTCAGTCCCTTCAAGCAATACCAAATTACTATTAAGTATTTTTCGTACAATTTTAGTACATATTTCCAAAAACACATCTCAATCCCAGATGCAAACCGACCCCTCAATAATTAATTTGAGAATTCCGTCACAATCCCTTCACCCCATACCCAAGTTAGTACTTTTCGAACAATTATACAGGGTGAGATGAAAAAACCGCAACCAACTTCAGACTTTCATTTCTAAGCCACTCGTCCGATAGCTGTTAAGCGTATTCCAGTGACAGCTCATTATATTTTTTTCAAGCGTACAAAAGCATTTTGGTGAGAATTTTCCACAACAAAAAGTTTTTCGTGATGGAATTCAAGCGTGATGGTGTGGTTTCTTTACTTTTGGCTGGAAAACCACAAGTGGTGAACTGCCGAAGTGGGTTTTATCCGAAGAGAAAGCATTCGTTGTCCAGCAGTTTGCAAACAAACAAAATGATCATGTTTACTTGCCAAAGAGGTCAGCTGAAAATTTGCACCTTCGGTTGGCCACCAGAACTCAAGCGCCAGCCATGGTGATGGTGTGGGCCGCCATAACAGCCGACGGTCGCTCTCCTCTCGTGTTGATCGACCGTGGCAACAGAATAAATGCCCAATATTATAGCGAAAGTTTTCTAGAGGGTGTATTAAAGCCTTGGGCACGCAAATATTTTGACCGTAGACCTTTGACATTCCAACAAGACTCAACACCATCGCACTCAGCACGCGCCACCCATTAATGGTTACAAAATGAGGTTCTACGCTTCACTTCCAGTGCACAATGGAGTACTTTGGAAAGCAAGGTTGGCACTAAAAGATACCAAAGTGTCGATCACCTCAAGCAAGCACTTCGGGAATGGGCCAAAATACCACAGAACAACATTTGGGCAACGTGTGACGGTTTCATTGGCCGTTTAAATGCCATAATTCGTGCCAAAGTTGACCAATTCGAACAAATCTTAACTTATTCTAAAATTTGATGCTATTTCCGACATTTTTTGCTTTCATTCAATGAAAAATGTAAAAAAATTATGCCGCTTTGTTGCAGTTTTTTTATCTTCCCGGTATGCCCATATGACTGAGGGTAAAAAAAAATTTTAATGCATATTTGGAGCAATTGTGGCGAATTTTTCAACCGTATTTTTGGGATCATCAAAACCCCAAAAATCTGATTTTTTTAATTATTTAGGTTTATTTTAATTGGCCTTCAGCAATATGCCTGTTTTAAAATATATTTAAAATCACTACAAAGCCACAAACGAGGAGTTTTTACAGAATATTTTTTTATGTACCATGAGAGCAAGAAACGTAAAATTTTTAGCAAACATCGTGTGTTTTTTGGAAGTATTTTTATTAAATTTATGAGCAATAATCCTGGATATTTAAGGATATTTCTCTCGTTGTATAAGCTTAAAAAATCGTCATAAACATCCACCCTTTTTCTTGATAAAAGTTTTCCATTCCTTTTTTTCATTCGAATATTTTGCAAAACTTAAAACCTGCAATCACTTGTGGCATACAATGTGTCTAAAACCCCCTACGAAAATAGCTCAAAACAATATCCTCGTAAAATATCGACAGCATTGAAGTATTTGCTTGGACATGTCGTAAACAGTCTGGGTACACACCCAATGTATTTTCAGTGACGGCAGTAACGTGACGGCAGACGGCGATAAGCAGCTACTTTAGAGACAATTTGTGTCACCAGCAAATGGGTCAATGGTTGTAACAATGGAAAAAATTAATGGAAACATGATTGGATGTGGGTAACCATATGTCTGGCGAATTGCTAAAAGAGAGGACTTTTTTTTATTTAAATATCAAAAAAAAAAAAAAAAAAAAAACATTTGTTTATTACAACATTTTTGTTACATTATTATTTTCCAACTTAATCTAGATTTGTACAAAACACTACACACAGTTACATATTTCATTCCACAGCATTTCATGTCATTTTTTTTCTTTTGGGTTCTCCCACTCAGTTCTCGCCAACTCAGTTGCATCTCACCCAAATTTACTTCAATGGCCATGCATTCCAGCCACCTTTTGTTGTGGTATAGGCCAAACCCGCATCGCCCCAACCACTTGTGGCATAAAGCTCCCCACTGCCAGTGTAATACGATTCGGGAGCATAAGCATATTCTATGGCTGGAGCAGCGGCCACAACATATTTCTTAATGATGGGTGCATGCGCCTTAACGAAGGTGGCCGCCGGTGCATACTCGACTATGGGCCGGAGATAAGGTCGTTTCTCGTGGACAATCGTTTGACTTTGGTGTGACACTGCAGTCGGATAATGTTCGACCGAATGTCCAACAATGGTGGGTGCATAATGTTCATAGTGATCATAGATGGCCGGAGCAGCTGGTAAATATGCCGTTCCTGACGCATGACCTGGGCGGGCTGCCACGGCTCCCAAAACAATGCACAAAATTGTCTGCAAAATGTAAGACAAGAATGTTAGGAGTTAAATTTTAATTTTGGTATTTTTTAGAGACAGTTAAATGAAATGTTAAAATATTTTAAATGATTGGGATTATTTTTAATCTCTAAAAATTTAAAGTTGTTTATTGGTAACCTTATTGAAAAGTAAATGGTGCTTTTTAAGTCATCATGAAGATTCTTCCAACCAAAAAATAAAACATTTGTCAAGTTTGAATAGACTATGAAATAGACTTTTAAAGATATTAAACATGGAGTTCCAAAATTTGCGGATTTTGGTAAAAATTATTGTTTTCCAAGATTTGAAGTTTTTTTTTAAATATTTTCCAAAAAATTTCAGACCACAAAACCACGATTTCTTAAAAATATTTTCAAGAAATTCCTGGCAAAGAAACTTGTTTTGGCCTGAGTTGTACATTTTTTTAATATTTTTGGGGCATACCTCACCAAGTATAATTTATTTTTTACATATATTCTTCAAGGACTATAATTGTTGATTTTTAAATACTTTTGGAGGATTTCAAAAAATTTGTATATTTTAATATAATATTTTAAAGGAGTCGTGGATTCGTATAGGACTAGATTGCGAATTTTTTGAATATTTTTCGAGGATTTTTTTTAAAATATTTTCCAAGAAATTTCTGACCAGGATACCTCGATTTCTTAAAAATATTTTCAAGAAATTCCTGGCAAAGAAGCTTGTTTTGACATACCTCATACCTCACCAAACATAATTTATTTTTTTTTTAAATATTCTTCAAGGACTATAATTGTTGATATATAAATACTTTTGGAGGATTTCAAAAAATGTGTATTTTTTTAAATATAATATTTTAAAGGAATCGTGGATTCGTACAGGACTAGATCGCGAATTTTTAAAATATTTTTCGAGGATTTTTAGACCAAGTATTTTGGATTTTTTTTAAATATTTATTTAGGATTAGAATCGTGGAAGTTCTTAAAAAAATTCAAGAATTACCAGGGCAAGTACTGTGGGTTGATTTAAAATATTTTTCGAGCTCTTTCTTATCAAGAATTATGGATTTTTTCAAATATCTTTATGTTTTAGAATCGCAGGAATTTAAAAAAATTTAATTTTAATTTAAGATTTCTAGAGAAAGTACCGTTCACTTTTAGAAAAAAAATTAAATTTTGGATTTTAAATTAATATTTTCCAAAATCTTTTTTTTTTAACAATTTTCGAGAACTTCTAGGCTAAAAGTCGATGATGTTTTCCAAGATATTTTACAGAAATTCAGAAACAAAAGTCGTGAATTAAAAAAAAATATTTTCCAGGACATACATGCCATGGATCGTCAATGTTTAATTTTTTTAGCATTATTTGAATTATTATTTTATTTGAATACATTATTTTAAATATTTTTCAAAGACTACAGTCTGCAATTTTTTTAAATTTTTAGTGAAGACTTTCCTATAGAGGATGTTGGAATTTCTCAAAAATTTTTTGAGTTCTTCCTGACCATGAAACGTGGATTATTTTAAATATTTACCAAGAACTTCTGCCCAAAGTATTTTTTTGCGAATGTTTTGTTTAAGAATCGTAGATTGTTATAACTATTATTAAGGACTTAAAAGATTACATACTGTAATTTTTTTCTAATTTTTTTTGCGAGGACTTTCCTTTCTGAAATGATTGATTTTTTTAAAAATACATTAAGATCCTAACCAAAAGAACATGGATTATTTTAAAAAATTTCCGAGGACATCCAATCCAAAAAAAAAAAATGCGAGCAATTTCTTACCAAAAATAGCATTTTTCAAGGACTTGATGGTCACGATTCTTTAAAAATATTTTTCGATGATTCTCGGACTATGAATCGGGGATTATTTTTCTATACATCTTCTAGCCACAAATCTTGGACTTTTTCTAATATTTTTCGAAGATTATCGAGTCAGGAAGTAAGAATTAAAAATAAATTTCGGGACTTCCAGACGATGAATAGTGCGTTTTTAAGGATAAATTTCTGGCCAAATATCGTCACCTCCTAAAACATAATTTTTGGGAATTCCTGACCAAGAATCGTAGATTTTTTATGGCGAACTTTTCATAACGTTTTATTAACGGCTTCCCATACAAAGATCTTCGATTTCTTAGGGATATTTTTCAAGGACTTTGTTGTTAGGAATTGTGGATATTTTTCAAATATTCCTTGAAAACTTCCATGCCAAAATTCGTTGATTTTTTAAATATGTTTCAGTGACTTATAGTACAGCTCAGAAATACATTTTTTTATTTTATCGAGATCGGTTCAGATTTGGATACGTCTCCCATATATAACTTCGTCCGATTTACTTTTTATTGTACACCAAATCAAATCAAATCTTCAATTAAAATTCCAAGGTATTGCAAATGGAATGACCGAGGTAATATACCCCCAATCTTATAGTCGATGATGAAGGCAAAAAAATCAAACAAATAAAATCGCACCTAAGTTCGGCCAACCCAATCCCTCCACCATTTGGAAGGAACTTAAAAAATCGTCGAAAAATACCTTCTAAAAGGAAACCGTTATATGGAGGACATACGAGGACCAGGACCTGCATAAGGAATTTTGGCTGTCATTGGCTGTTTCCGAACTTCAAAAACTAAATTTGAAACAATTCCGCTGAATAATGTCGCTATACGAAGATGTGAGCCTGCAACGTGAGCCGGTAAAAAATGTCGCTAAAAAATAGCGAATATTGGGAGGTTATATGGGGTCTATACGAAAATGTGGACCGACACGGCCCATTTACAAACTTATTCTGCCTACTGGTAAACTATGCATGTATGCAAAATTTTAGCCTTATATCTCAATTCGTTCGAAAGATAGCGTAATTACAACAGACAGACGGACAGACAGAGAGGCAGGCAGACGGACATCACTAGATCGTCGTAGAATTTTACGCTGATCCAGAATATATAAACTTTGAAGTGTCTGTTATGAATATTTCGAGAAGTTTCATACGGAATGACAGAGCCAATATACCCTCCATAAAATGGTGGAGGGTATAATAACAAAACAAACTTTGGCCTGTTTTTATACCCTCCACCTTGGAAAGGAGGGTATATTAACTTTGTCATTCCATTTGTAACATCCATAAATATTCGTCGTAGACCCCATAATATATATATATATATATATATATATATATATATATATATATATATATATTCATAATCAGCATATAATTCTAAGTCGATTTATCGATGTCCGTCTGTCTGTCCGTCTGTCTGTCTGTTGAAATCACGATACAGCCCACATTATTGGACATAGAGCGCCAGAATTTAGCAGAGCAATTTGTATTGTATCTAGAATGGTTGGTATTGAAAATGAGATACATAGGTCTACGTTCTGGTATAGTCCCCATATAACGGTACCTCCCGATATTCGGTATTTTGATGATTTATGCCACATTTTTTCACTGATTTGTTTGAAAATTGGTATTTGTAGGTCATAACGGGTCCCTGTACGTGTGGCAAAACATGGCATGTATAGGTCCACATTTTGGTATAGCCCCCATATAAAGGTACCTCCCGATATTCGATATTTTGATGATTTTTGCCACATTTTTTCATGGATTTGTCTAAAAATTGGTATTTGTTGGTCATAATGGGATCTAGATCCGGTTTTGGTATAGACCCCATATAACGGTACCTACCGATATTCGGTATTTTGAGGATTTTCACCACATTTTTTCACGTATTTGTCTGAAAATTGGTATTTGTATGTCAAGTGGGTCCTAGTTCGTGCTCCGAAATATTGTATGCATAGGTCCACGCTTTGGTAAAGCCTCCATATAACGGTATGTTCCGATATTCGGTATTTTGATGGTTTTAGTCTCATTATATCACGAATTTGTCTAAAATTTGGAATTTGTTAATGAGTTCTAGCTCCTTTGGCGAAATATTGTATGTGTAGGTAGGTAGCGGTACCTCCCGATATTCGGTATTTTGATGATTTTTTCCACATTTTCCCACGAATATGTCTAAAAATTGGTATTTGTGTGTCAAAATTGGTTCTAGTGTTTCCATTACCTTAAGGTAGAGGGTATTAAGAAATCTAAAATCTAGTATTTGAAGTCTAAAATGTCCTATTATGTGAATCTGGTTTGCAGGTCTACTATTACGGTGCACTTATGGGGCATTCCCAAGTTACATGTTAAAATTCGAGTATGGATTTTGAATTAATTGCTGTACAAAAGATGGTATGGAGTTCGTTGCCTTTTAAAAATGCCAATTGAGTTAAAATGTTAAGATTTTTTTTAAATATATTCCAAGTTTTTTTGCGATGGCCGATTACTATGTTTTTGGCACTCTTAATGTTAATAGAACTCCAAAATATATATTCAGTGTTCTTATATAAATCCCAATACTGTTTTCACTATTCACTTGATAAAGGATTTTGTTTTATTTTCCTTACAATTTTCAACATGTTGCTTTTGATTTGTTTTTTTTTTACTCCACGACTTTTAATTTCAACCGAATTCTACTGGTCACTTTCGATTATGAATTTGTACTACCTGCTCTTCAAAATCGCATCTCATATTTATATACATCCAAATACATGTTTCTTGCTACATTTTTTTTTTTTTTTTGGAAAAATCTTCTATTGTTTTTCTCGTTTTTTTGAAAATATTCTACAGATCATCCTCTAAGCATATTAGTTCAAAGGCACACAACAGAAGATCCGAACTAATTTGCATTAATTATGTGCTCCACTTGGGTGAGTTTTCCATTAGTCTTTAACAGCTAAAGTCGTCTACGTCAGTCATCGTCATCTTCATCATCAGCAGCAGAAATGTAGGAAAAACTGTTGAATATAATCTTAGAACAATGTGTGTGCGGGTCTGTGTCTCTGGCTAACAAGATAGACTTATTCAACTCCCATCCCACCATTAATATTTCGCGCTGTGTTATTAGACACCAGTGAAATATTTGCCACACAAAATAACAATGGTAATATTCTGCCTCCTCCCGTCCTGCCCCCCTGA